AATGTGACTCAATCAAACGCGACCCTGTTCGTGCAGTTGTCAAAGAAATACACCTACGTAAATAAAAACATTTAAAAACAAACGTGTCTTTCATATTTATTTTGCAACGCAATTTCTCTCCATATAGCTCACTAAATATGCCAATCTTCTTTTAAGCATTGCACTTGACACCACTGTCATGAAGCGAAACAATCGAACAATGCCATATCATGTTCAGTTATTCAAAGAATTGTTACAAAAAAGTCTTACGAAGGAATGTTACAAAGAATGCTTCGACGACGACAATAATGGCCACTTGCGCAAGCGCAGTAGCCATAAAAATTAAAGCTTGGCTTGAAAAATTAGAAACATTTGCTGCGCCATACATTCAAGTAACATCTGTAATAAAATGTTGCATCCTTTGATATGAATGCATTGTTAAGTTTGAAAACACCAAAGGGGTGTCGTGATGATAAACTGTATTAAATTATTACTAACTGTGGAAGATTGAGACAGAAACGAATGATAAACTTGCAAAATTTGCCATCCATGACCAGTACAATGTATCAAACTGTTTTTAAAAAAAAATACAAATTTATTTCACACCCAAAACAAATATTTTACACAGTGTTTACACAATGTACTTACATGAACTTCCCTTACAATCCACTGTTTGAGAAGCTTTTGTTGTGCACATTCTTCTGTCCTGACCAACACAAGCTAAGCCTCCATTTGCTGAGGCAGGGTTATTACACTGCCGAGTTTGAAGGCCATCTTCACACTCACTCCAATCAGACCAAACCACCATGAATGACTGGAAAGACAATAGGAACAGACTTAGTAAGTTATCCTTTACCACACCACAGGACCTTTAGTTTATCTGTCAAGGACTCAACTGATAATTAATTATAATTTTATTATATTGGCTGAGACTGAGCTAAGAATTCTTCAAGAAGTACAGATCTTGATTGAAGGCAAGTTAAAACAACAACACTCCTGGAATTCCAGGAGTAATACCTGAGTATACACAGATACAACTTACTTATTATAAAATACAAAAGAGTTACCTTTATTTCCTTCAAAACAGTTAGGATCAGAGCTGCTCTTACAAACATATATCTTCATCTTCATGCCATCATTACAATGCCCTCCTTGTTTGTTTGTCAATGAGCTATGCAATCCTGAGGCAGTATCTGAAAGTTATCACAACACGGCAGATATTATTAACCAATTGAACACATAATTATCCCTAGACCATATAGGTAGCCATGCCCGACAACAACCACGCTTGGGCCAAACTTTCCCACTCTTAGCTTTGGTGTTGGTCTACTGTAGCATCCCAGCCCGGCCTGCGGGCGTACATGTAGCATCCAATACTCCTGACGACTTCACGTTAGATAATTATTCCCTGGTGAAAATCTTTGCAGGATCTTTGAAGATCTTTAAAGATCTTTAAAGATCTGCAAAGACCTGTAAAGATCTGCAAAGATCTTGCAAAGATCCTTGAAGACAAGGATCCTTCAAGGATCCTCAAGGATTTCATAAGGATCTTATAAAGATCTTATGAAGATCCTGGCAAAGATCCTTGCAAAGATCTTCGTAAGGATCCTTTAGGATCCTCAAAGATCTGATAAGGATCTTACAGGATCTTAAAAGGATCCTTTCAAGGATCTTTCAAATATCTTTTTCAGGATCCATAAGGATCCTCAAGGATATTATGAGGATCTTACAAAGATCTTACAAGGATCTTTTCAAGGATCTTTCAAAGATATTTTTCAGGATCCTTAAGGATCCTCAAGGATATTATGAGGATCTTACAAGGATCTTACGAGGATCTTTTCAAGGATCTTTCAAAGATCTTTGTCAGGATCCTCAAGGATTTGACAAGGATCTTACAAGGATCCTTTCAAGGATCTTTGGGAGATCTTTGTCAGGATTCTTAAGGTTCCTCAAGGATATTATGAGGATCTTACAAAGATCTTAAAAGGATCTTTTCAAGGATCTTTCAAAGATCTTTGTCAGGATCCACAAGGATTTGATGAGGATCTTACAAGGATCTTTCAAAGATATTTGTCAGGATCGGATCTTCAAGGATAATATCAGGATATTACAAAGATCTTAAGAGGATCTTTACAAGGATCCTACAAAGATCTTTTCCAAGATCCTCAAGGATTTGACGAGGATCTTTCAAGGATCCTGGCAAAGATATTTGTAAGATCTCTACCCAGGTTCCTTAAGGATTGGATGAGGATCTTTACCCAGATTTGAATTACTAAAAGCAAGCACTGAAAAATTTAAGGGGAAGCAACAATCAACAAATGAACAGCAAAGAAATATTTATCAAAGTTTTATACAAAGAAGACAGTGAAGCTTTTAGAATGCTTAAGGTTGAATGAAGAAGAAAGTACATGCATGAGCTAGCAAATACATTGATATGCAAATATAAATTTATGCTTGGGTTTCCTATATGTTAAGACAAACAGTTCCTGAGCTACTCCATCATCTTTCTCACAATAAATATCCATAATTTTTCAATTTTATAGGAGTAAAATTGTCTTGAAATCCTTATGTACTTCATAAAATGATTCCTGGATACCTTTAGGCTACTACAGGTTTCTAAAATGAGTAAAACCATGGGTTATTGATCGACCACACACGAGCCGCCATCTTGGATGATGGTTGAGAAGACCCTGGGAACGAGTTCCCATGATGCTTTGCTTGTGGTGATATCTGTGCCAGGCGCGTGAATTCAACATGTTCAACATGTTCAACGGTCAAATCACTCAAATGCTGTGTATTTTACTGGGAAATACTCTGAGAAATTCTCCTGGAATAATGTTCAAAAGCTACAGAATCAGTACCTTCTAATGCAGAGAAAGAAAGTAAGTAGAGAGAATCGTAATGGCTTTCTTGAAGTAGGACTTTAGATGAAGTACATGTATTTTTTTTCTTGGGTTTTAATATAAGGTTTTGATCTCGATCATTGTGCTTATGTACAGCAAGCTTGTAGTTTCACCAAGAAAGCATTTAAAAGGTCTTTAAACCACTGTACTACTACAACGTGATTTGAATCCTACTTCTTTGCCTTTAAATATAACAGTCTTTGTGAGAGGAAGAAGCGAATACAGCTGTTTATAGATCTGATTTTAATAACATGTTGCTTTGTGTTTTTGTTGTAGTTTATTGAGGCAGAAAGCATTGAAGTATACACAGTTACTACAGGAAACAATATATTTAGAACGCTAAGTGGAAAACAATTCACAAACATCATACAGTATTTGTAATCCCAAGTGGGATATGGCAGCAAGTAATCTTGGAACAGGACAAGTTACTGTGGATGCAAAGGCCTACAAAAAGGTCTAATATTATAAACTACAATTTCAGGGAGTACAATAAATGATGAACAGAAGCTTGATTTTTCAGTTGGTCTTTAATCTAGTGTGCCAACTTAACACTGTAATAATACAATGTATTTGTCATCTGTTTATGACTGTACATATTGTATGATCATTCTCTATATGTGCATGTAGTGTAACGATTCTGTTATTGCTCAATTTAGTTTTGTACAATCTTTGTGCATTTAATTGCTAAATGTAATGTTGGAATTGAGCAGATAGAATTAATTGCTTGTGACTTCTTTTGAAGTCAAATAAACTGCATTTGGTTCCAAAACATCTGAGTACATTATACTACATGTATATAACTTTTATTATTGCTTTTGATGTTGATATGCAAGAATGTTACAAGATGCATGTAACTTGCAAAGTCTGATAAGCATCTTACAAGAACTTAGAAAATTCGGGAAGTTCTTATAACGATTCTAGCTAACAAGATTCTTATAAAGATCTTGTGTGACATTGCAAATTCCACATCTTGTAAGTATCTTATTATACAAAGGAAACAATAAATATTATAACAAGATCTTGTAAGAACCTTACAAGTTCTTGTAAGATGTACATGTAAGTACAAGAATCTTACAATAATTATTATCTTAATAAGATAATTACTTCAAGATCTTATTAAGATCTTAAACCTGCAAAGATATTTAAGGATCTTACATTCAAATATCTTAAAGATTCATACAAAGACCTTCAAGGATCTTACCAAGATCTTAAAGATTAATGCAAAGATCTTTGGGGATCTTGCAAAGATCTTTGGGATCTTGCAAAGATCTTTGGGGATCTTGCAAAGATCTTGAAGATTCCTGCAAATATCTTTAAGGATCTTACAAAGATCTTAAAGATTCATGCAGAGATCTTTGAGGATCTTGCAAAGATATTCAAGGATTTTACAAGGATCTTTAAAATTCCTGCAAATATCTTCAAGGATCTTACAAAGATCCAACAAAGATCTTTGTAAATCTTCAAGGATCTTCAAGGATCCTTGAAGATCTTTGGCAAGAAAATTGAGGATCTTGGCAAGAATCTTGAAGATCCTCAAAGATCTTTGTAAATCCTTGAGGATTTTTTATAAAGATCTTCTCAAACTCATTAATAATTCATCAAGTTAAAACAAAGGAAATCATAACCGTGTCGGAGGTTTGGAAACCCGGTCTTAATTAGCATAGATTTTTACGATTTTATTTCTCCGTTTACTCCTTAGTTTTTGTTTCGATTGAGAAGATATATCAAACACTCGAGACAGTGTTTCATCGGCTATCCAAACACCTCGAATTTCGTCAAAAATACTCCGCTGCGCGTCGTATTTTCAACTCCATTCTCGGTGTTTGGATATCCTGATGAAACACTGTCTCTCGTGTTTGATATATTACCTCAAAGATCTGCACCAAGATCTTCATGCAGATCTTCAAGGATCTTTAAAGATCTTTAAAAGATTTTCACCAGGGTATGTAACATGAAAATTTCTGTAGCATGAAGACAACAGGAGTATAATGTGCCAGAACTGGACTGGGTGGGAATTGTTAGTCCAACACCAGGTTATTTCCCAGCATTTTTGTCACATACCCATATTGTTTACTCCTGGGTAGAGAGACTCACCCTGGCACAGTAAAAGCATCTCCATGATCACGGGCCAGGACTTGAACCTGTACCGCTCAATCCAGAGTCCATTTGCCCTAACCATTTAGGCCATAGTCCAGTTCTGACCCTCTCTCAGTCACGCAACGCTACGCTCTGAGGAAGAGAGCATAGCGTTGCGTGACAGAGAGAGGGCCAGAACTGGACTATTTAGGCCCGACTGTTGATACCGTGATTGATACCGTGTCTAAATAAAGTTTTACTACTATTGCTGCTGTATCTCCCCATTGATTGATGAGGCTACCATTATGTAAGATTTAATTTTAAAATAGATAATAATCCAAGGAAATGCACATAACAATACATGGAAACAGATTGTGAATTTACAGTCCACAGACAAAGTTGGCACTGTCTGATAGTGGAGGTAGGTAAAGTCATGATAGAACAATAAAACTTACTTATAAAGTAATACTCTTTCCCCTGTTCAAACTTGGGATCATTGACATCGGCCGTTATTCCGTTGAAAAACAATTGTGACATAACTGTACGTCAGCTGGGTCATTACAAATTAAAATGCTATGTCCCTGTGTCGCATTACAGCTATCGTAAACCTTTTTGTCCACCATAAATACATTTTCATAGAGTAGGTCTTTAGAATAGGAACTGCTTCTTTTGATTGGGTATTCCACTAGTTTGGACAAATGATTGACAGCTTGTCAAATGCATTGACCTTTCTTGCTGTGCCGCCAAGGTTTTTAAACCTAAAATAGAATACAATGTTATGAATATATAAATACATTGTTATTTTCAATGGGAGATGAAGATGTCAGACAAATATGGGCCAAATGTGCCACCATACATTTCAGTATTTCTTTGTTTTCTTTGTTTATGTGTTTGTAAACAAGTTTTTAATCAAATTCCCAAGAAGGCATACAAATTGTGTGGGACATTATTAGTTAGGTATGTTTCTAAAAAGTTTAAAATTGACAAAACAGTCGTCGATCTTCACCTGTCGTTGCTAAGCATAAAATCAACCTCTGCAAACGAATTAGTTTGCCTAAAGTTGCACAATATGAAAAGGCGTTGTTTTACACTTGCCTTCTGCATGTACACTAAGCTTATAAAGCTTTATAGGTTATTTGAAGCTCAATTATCTTACAACACAGATGAAAGCAAAACACTTTAATATAAGCTTAATAAATGCGTGCTAGGCATGTAGTGTTTGAAGAAGCAGATATTAGTGACCATTAGTTTGAACTGCACGCAGCTGCATGCATTTCAAAAGACGATCGAGTTAAAAAGTTATGTTTTACGAGAGGGCTAATTATTCGTTGCGAGAGCAAATGTTAAAGCTACAACACCATTAAAGATACTCACAATGGATTTTCTGGATTCCATAAAGATCGAAGGCAATATTTCAGCCACAGTCCCGGTTACCATCAAGCAAAAGCAACACCATCGTTATTCCAAAACATTGGACTGATGCGGCCGCCATATTTTTTAGTCAACGCAAATGTTTTCAAAGAACGAGTCAAAATAAGATCGCTGTCTTTACAAACATCCGATTGTAAGACTTTATGAATGAAACGAGAGTCCGTTTAGACACTCCACAGGTCTTATTCATCACTGAAATACTAGTGCATCCGAATTGATTTCGGACATTACGTCATTTCCCACAAAAACCGCAACACACTCAGTCTGCATGCCAACACGCTCCCTCAAACGAGCATTCTGTACTAACAGGGATGGGGTAGAGGTGATATTTTGTAGTTGGTAAAATCAGAAGCTTATAGCATAATTTATCGACATTAAAAAGAACTTCTTACAATGCAATTCTTCAAAACATAAAATTATTCATCAGTACTGACACGATTTTATTGCAAGAAACGAGTCATGAATTAAAATACGAACAACTTTTACACAAATCAAACTGGAGACACCTGCCCCCGCCCTGATATGCCAAACATTTCGCCTTTTCAAGCCATTATGGACGTCACATAGACGGAAGATCAGGTCTTATATGAGGGCCCTGGGCAGTAACATTGCAGTTTCGCAGGAAATGTAATTGTTGTTTTTTCTACGTAAAGCTCAAGTGTCGATCTACCTGCTCCTCCTTGTCAATCAGGAAGCAAAATGAAGGACAATTAAAAGCAAAACGGTTGAATATTAATATACAATCGTAGACAAGAAATGTGTTTCATCGAGTCAGGAAATCGAGATCCCTCGAGCTTCTTCGCCGATTCACGTTGCTTCGGTCATGCATCCAGGCGTTGGCGTATCCACGTAAACCGCCATAAAACAATATACTACCCGATGCTATGTTCCCTTAGAATTGAAAAATCACATAACAAGCTACAGACCAAGGCCTCCCTAAAAAAATAGACATACAGTTTTTGTAGTCTTTTGGTAAGGAAATCTTTCAGACAATTTGTTCCGATTACAATTTTTGAGCCGACGTTTGCGTGGGCACGAATTTAAACATCCTGTGCGCCTTAAAGGTACTTTAAATTTTCTCTGCGCTCTCTCAAAGCAGGAGTATGTGTACTAAAGGAATCGGGAAAGTAATAATATGATGTTATCGCTTTTCTGTCTGAGGATTAAAGGCGGAAAAAACAAAATATGTGGTTTAGGTTCGCTTAATCACAGACAGTTTAAGAGACCAATCCCTGCGGAAGTCACCAGTCAGTATTTTAGAGAGGCGGAAAAATTAGTACAGGCCTGATCGCAGGTTTTTAAGAAATAGTCACAGCACACAGGATGAAATAAAGCCGCGACTATTTCAAAATTTCAAAATTTATAAGAAAGTGTCCATCTGCTATTTGTAGGAGAATTTTCTCTGCTGACTCCCCGAGTGCAGTAACATATTTAATGGAAAGTCCGTGACTGAAGTGGTCGATCGTAAATCAAAACATCCTTATTTTAGAATTTCTAAAATTTCCAGTAAGCACCCCTCGCTTTTGTTATTAATGGTTCAAATTGTTTTTTTAAAAGAGGTTTAATATTTGATAGTAAGTGGTTGTCGTTTAATTTTATGAGTATATTTACAGGATTATCGAAAGTGTTATAAATTATATTGTATGTATGTAAGGCCAATAAAGCAACTATGAATACGATTTGCAAAAATGTTTTCTGCGCTGAAACTTGAAAAATTAAAAAGTTCACAGACATTTTGGGATTACAAGTTACAGATCCTTTCTTCAGTGTGAAAGTGACTCATTATTAAGGACGTATTTTCGTCATTATTACACGTATTTTTTCATGTCATACTATGAATAGAGCCGAACCAACGCGCGGTTAATTTGTGAAAAAAATTGTGACTAATGGATACGGCGAAGCTGTATGTATTGAACTATCATTTTTGATTGTAGACCGGCTCGTTGCCACGCAGTAAAAATCCAATGTTATGACTCCTGACATGAATGAATGGTACGTGCAAACGGATTGTAAAATGCCTCAGTAACTCGCGCCTATGTTTTCTTTGCTCAATGAGAGTTTTTTCAAGCAAGTCGTTCTTCAAAAACCTTCACCTCTGCACAAATCCTTCGTCAAAACCGTGTCAGTCTCGTCAAAAACGCTGCATCTCGACGGAAATGGTTTTTTTCATGTGACCAAAGCAACAGCGCAAATTACAAGCAAATGAGATGGACCGTCTCCACTGGGTCTTCCATGGTTCCCACGGCTGGTGACCCATTCCCCCTCCAAAACTCGGCGTGCCGTATATTACAATTATTTATAATTAATTTATAAGGATATATTCTGTTCCGCTGTAGGTTTTCATTTTTGTTTAGTATTTTTTATATTTGTGTGTGTGAGTGTGTTACCCGACCGATAAACTGTATAAATACTCTATGTAACTTAATTGTCTCTGCCCATTCTTTGTTAAGGCCCCTATGGTTATTGTGGGCAACGCCGTAGCCCTCTACTTTTATAAAATATAAATTATAATTATTCCTGTCCTTTCTGGGTACAAATAAACTGGTTGTTGTTGTTGTTGTTGTTGTTGTTGTTGTTGTTGTTGCAAACAAAATGGCGTCGTATGGGTAGGGGCGAGTGGAAGGCTCTTGTATGGAGCTGATGCTTGCGGGAAAATTTTCATTACCAGTGGCGATTCAATATATGGTAACAGGACAACATTACTCACCTACGCGGTGCAATATTGAGATCAGAGGGGAGAACATCTTTGAACAGCCAGTCGAACTACTTCTGTCTAGTAGTCCTGCCCAATTAGTAGGCCACTTGTGGCCAGCTACAGTAGTAGTAGCTGTACTGTAGTAGCTATTGACGCTCAAATAAGTTACAGAAAGACAGACGATCCTTTGATTTAAACCCTTTTCTCAAAAACACACTCGCAAGTGCTGAGATATCTGCTGATACAATAGAGTGAAAATGAAGGACTGAGATAACCAAAATCTATGGGGGGTGGAGGAGGGGGGGGGGGGGGGGGGTGGCAACCACATGGTGGGTGCGTGGGTGTTGTAGTACAGTAACCAAGGGGCAACAAAAGCCCGGCAGCAATCAACCAAAAAAAAAAACAAGCGATGCTCGTGCAGGATAGAAGTTTATTTATTTTTCGTCCATTTGTTTTCTCAAGAGTGATCCTTTACGCGATACTTCTTGTGAAGACTTTTGAAGGAGTTCTTCTGTCGGGCGGTCTGAAACATTTCTCCGGTCACGTCTGTTTGGGCTGAAAAAATTATATATTTCATATAATAAAAAGAAAGTTAGAAACACATGCGTATTCACCTGGATGGGTGGGTGCATGTCAAGGTTTTGAAATGAACATACACCTCTACTTTGGGACACCTCGATAAGGGGACACAAACCTTTTTCCCGACAAAATTAACGCTCATATAATCTTAGTATCCATGCTTCTATTAAAAGGACATTTCTATTAAGGGGACACTTCTCCTTGTCCCGAGGGTATCCCCCTGGATATCCTGCAATAAAGTCAATACTATGTAATAATGAGAATTGCAAGAAGAAATGGAGCAAACAAATAAACTTGAAAACTTGAAACTTGAAGTGTCACTGTACTAATATAAAGTCATATCCTCGAAACAAATGGAGAGATAAACAAAATTGGAATATGGAGTCTGGATGAAGGAATGGTGAGGAATATCAATCCTCTAG